TAATAGGAGACCCCGCCCATCACCGTGCGAAGCTGTATAATTCTTGGAAAAAACTAAGAAAGCCTGAAAGCTTCCCAAGAAATTTTTAGAAGGAAGCATAACGTAATGAATGCATCAACGGAAAAGAATTAGAAAGCTAGAGACGATTTTATGACTGAGCAAAAAAATAACAAAGCGTGAAGAACTAGGAATGTACTTACTACTCAACGATTCGTACTTTATCGGACGACATTCCGCATCTCAGAACAGTCCCATCACACGAGCACAGGCTTGCAAATATCAATGTAAATCCATTGGAACTGTCACCGCAAGCAAGAGGAACGACATGGCCCAGTTACGGCGGACGCGTGGCACGTCCGCACGCGTCGCTGACCCTGTCATTGTCGCTGGGGCGCGGAAACTGCATGAAATATGGTTCAACACGGAATGGTGGCTTTTTATACATTGCTGGAATCACTATAAGCGAAAGTACCACCACATACGATCCTACTAGGTAGTGTCTGAGCGTGTCATACTCCATTGCTCGCAGATTAGAGCTGGCGTGGCTGTGTGTTTTATTTTTGATCGCTGATGGCCAGGCTTTTGTTTTCAAATCGCAGCTTTTGGATAACTGCCGTTTCGGAAAAGCGTTCATTCATGTCTCTGGCAGACCGCATAATCTACCTCGCATTGTGGGGTTGGGTCCCGAGTCTGCCACGAGAAAAGCGTCCTGAGACATCTTCAAACCAAGCACGCAGCGACACCCTCCCCATCTTCGGGTTATGGAGTGTGTGTGTGTGTGTGTGTGTGTGTGTGTGTGTGTGTGTGTGTGTGTGTGTGTGTGTGTGTGTGTGTGTGTGTGTGTGTGTGTGTGTGTGTGTGTGTGTGTGTGTGTGTGTGTGTGTGTGTGTGTGTGTGTGTGTGTGTGTGTGTGTGTGTGTGTGTGTGTGTGTGTGTGTGTGTGTGTGTGTGTGTGTGTGTGTGTGTGTGTGTGTGTGTGTGTGTGTGTGTGTGTGTGTGTGTGTGTGTGTGTGTGTGTGTGTGTGTGTGTGTGTGTGTGTGTGTGTGTGTGTGTGTGTGTGTGCTCGTGCTTCCTCGTGTATTGTGTGTGTGTGTGTGTGTGTGTGTGTGTGTGTGTGTGTGTGTGTGTGTGTGTGTGTGTGTGTGTGTGTGTGTGTGTGTGTGTGTGTGTGTGTGTGTGTGTGTGTGTGTGTGTGTGTGTGTGTGTGTGTGTGTGTGTGTGTGTGTGTGTGTGTGTGTGTGTGTGTGTGTGTGTGTGTGTGTGTGTGTGTGTGTGTGTGTGTGTGTGTGTGTGTGTGTGTGTGTGTGTGTGTGTGTGTGTGTGTGTGTGTGTGTGTGTGTGTGTGTGTGTGTGTGTGTGTGTGTGTGTGTGTGTGTGTGTTGTGTGTGTGCGTGTGTGTGTGTGTGTGTGTGTGTGTGTGTGTGTGTGTGTGTGTGTGTGTGTGTGTGTGTGTGTGTGTGTGTGTGTGTGTGTGTGTGTGTGTGTGTGTGTGTGTGTGTGTGTGTGTGTGTGTGTGTGTGTGTGTGTGTGTGTGTGTGTGTGTGTGTGTGTGTGTGTGTGTGTGTGTGTGTGTGTGTGTGGTGGAAAATCAGCATAGTCAAAACACTTTTTGAAGGGTAAATACGCCCTGAAGCATCCTACACCTTATCCCCATATCTTCAGGTGGTAAGCCCCACTTTCACCATAACCGATATTGATCTAGTATACCAGTGGGATCGCTGTCTCACCGCCGGTATTCCTCCTCTGTGGAGCCGTCCGGCCTGGCCCTAGCGGGTCATCGCGCTGCTTCTTTCATTGTATTCGCGGCATTCCTTTGTGGGTGCATTACTTTCGAGTCGCGAGCGGCACTACATGGGGAAGCAAGCGGAATGCCAACCACTGAATTCGCGCCAGGACCCAATCCGTTCAACGTGGCTTCGCTGCGAGGCGTCGACCTCTCTCTGCGTAGCTTAAGTCAACTGGCTCTCTAATGGGTGTGCTTGTCTCGTTCAGTCAACTAGCTAGGAAATACTGTTGCTAGTGCGTGCGATGCAGCAAGTGTAGACGAGCGCTCTACACTCACTCTTAAAACGGCGATTCTTCCAAATAGGTGGATATCGCGCCGTCGACGATACTAACGCCACTCTTTTACAGCATTTTTAGCTACGAGGTTTTTCCGGTTGTGAGACTGCACCATAATGCCATTCGAAACATCGCCACTGTCGGCTCTCAGTAACCTCGGCATTAGTTCAGTACTATAGCGTTTATTCTGTTGAAAACTCATCACGAGGCTTATATACGCACTTTATTCGAATGAAGTGGGAATATATCAACCTCGCGAGAAATTTAACAGAGGAAAATCTACAGTACTGCATTTCGAAAATAGTTCCGACTTACCTGTTCTTTCGAAAATATTCTCGATTTATCTGCTCCATTTAAAACCTGCGCTCCATTCGCAACATGCTTTCTTGAAGGCTCAGTTCAATTTTCGACACTGTTGTGCAAAGACGCAGTAACGGTCGGGCAGTGTATCTTGGTAAATATACCGGATTCCATGACCTTCTGTTATGTCATTTTAGTGTCCTTCTCGTGGATTCTGATTCCACCATTTCTCAGAGTGTTTTCCAAAGGGCGGGTAAAACTATTAAACTTCTATTTAACCGTTCTCAGTGAAACGGTCTTTTCACATGGTCACATTGCCATTGGCGTCGTAATGACAGCTACACATCCGCGATTTACGCAAGATGGGAAAAACTCGGTCCAATCACCAAAGTGTTAAAGTTTGCGCTAAACTTATCTTATCTTATATTAATTTACAGTCCACTCAACGGCATGAGTGCCAGTTCGCGCTCATTTAAATTGACGAGCCACTACTCTCTATCAGCTGTTCCCTTCAGGGAAGTGTTAGAGAGATGCACTACTTTGGAGTTCCGGACGAGTTGTCCTTCTTGGAAGACAGTTTGCCTACATGTTTTGACACGTCGGTGGCAGAAAGATCGCGCGAGAAATATAGCCCCTTCTATGTCTCGATTCTCCAGTTCTAGATCCATACGTAGACATTTTTTGTGAGTTCGCCGTCGAGCCCAGAGCCGCGTATCTATGAACATGGCCTCTACAGCTGCGGAAAATATCCACGCGTATCCGACTAGCGTTTTGGGGTACGTTTTGAGCATTTTCGTGTGAAAACGCAGGTACGCCTCAAAACCGCGGATCGATATCTATGCTTTGCTAGTAATAAGACAGCGTACGCTAGATCAAAACCTATGCATTTCTAGTCGCTTAGAACGCTGTCGTACGATGAAAACGTCGGGAGCACGTTCATACTTCGTGTTCCTAAATCTTGACTGAGATTCGCCGCGACCGCGAAAGTATGAACGCGCTTCGCAAAGTTGGAACTTCGCCTACTGCCTCCATTTTTCGAGAAGTTATTTTTAAAAAATTGTCTCTTTTCTCGCAGTGCAAGCAATTTCCCTTCGAAACACATTTTCAGAGAACGCTACACTCCTAAGGTTGCTGAACTGAGTACTTTATGAGGATGCAAACCGGGTCAGTGTATGATGCCCGCGACCCACGCTGACGTCCAGTGACTGTAGTGGAGACCCAGTTAAGTAAAGCTGAAGCCGAAGTATATGACCGCCAGATACGATTGTGGGGATTGGAAGCCCAACAAAAGTAGGTCGAATAAGATATTTTGGAATTCGTAGTAAAATATCAAATTCCCCAGGTTGCATGCGGCAAGCGCGTTCTTATACGGATTGTCAGGAGTAGGCGCCGAAATCGCTAAGAACCTTATGTTGTGCGGTTTGCGCTCCCTCACTCTTATGGATGATAAACCTGTGGACGAAGAAGATGTCGACTCAAATTTTTTGTTGGCAAACGGCTCTGTTGGTGAAAATGTAGGGGGTTTTTGTGATCTTTTTATCAGCCATTTTTTTGTTACCATCGATGCTTTCAGCGTGCGAAAGCATCATATGAGAAGGTGCAAGCGCTAAACCCAATGGTTAAAGTGGAGGTGAGTTGCTTTAAGCCGCGTTCATACTTTGTGGCTGAAGAGACTCCGCGATTTGAGAGCATCGCGACGAGGAATGTATCGATCTGGCAATTGTGGAGATCGAAGCGAACTGGCGGTTAGGCGTTTTGGGAGATCGCGCTGTCGCTTAATCTTCGCTATTGCCACATCGATGCTCACACTTTCCTCATTGCCATCTCTCAAACTGAAGAGTCTCCCAAATCGCCGAATCTCCTCTCTCGCAAAGTATGAACGCGCACTTATTTAAATCTCAGTTTGTAAACACTCCACGTTAGTTACCTTTAGGTCGTTGAATCCAGTCTGAAATGCATCGATCCTGCCTTCATACCACGCTTTACTCTTGTTGTGCTATGTGATCAGTCCTATGAAGACGTCCAAATTTGGAATGAAAGATGCCGCAAGCTCAATATTGGGTATGCCATCATGTTCTGGTCTTCTTTATCCTTGTTTATCCCTCCAATTTGTTCTTAATCCGGAGTGCGCGCCAAAGGAGTGGACGGGTATCCTCGGCGCCAAGCCGCCAGCGTTTTGGAAGATAAGGGAACGAAAAAGTAGAAAATACGAGACCGCAGTCGGTCGATTCCTATCTACAGGTTAGCGCGCATTCTCCCAAACATTCCAACGTTTCGGGCCGTGTTTATTGTACGATCAGAGAGAAGTGTGGGGGTGGGGGATGGAATACGAAAGTTAGGGATAGGTATCAATCTAGCGTCGAGAGGCGCGCCAGGAGTGCCGTTCCTTCGAGAAAAGAACGGTCCACAAAACCATTCTAAACGTTGACCTGAGGTTTGTTACTAATCTGCTAAGAACACCATCTCCGAAACGTCTTGTTGTTCCTGTTGTTTTCTGGCCATAATTCTAATGAGTCTCGCCTTCCATCTGCAGGATGATTATAAGGAGAATGCTCCCCCCCCCCCTCGCAAGGCCGTCTACTCTTGGTTCGCCACGTTCAAGAAAGGCGAGTACTCTATCGAAGATGACGAAAGGACAGGGCGGCCAAGGACTGTGGATCTGAACGTGATAGGGGAGCAGGTGGAGGCGGATCCATACAAAACCACTCGTGAGCTGTCCGCCAAGCTTGGTATTGGCCCGTGGAAGTCAAAAGGAAAGGTGCAAAAATTGGGCACTACAGCATTATCCCAGAGGAGCGTGGATCGGAGGGTCGACACGACACTTTCTCTTCTCACCCTCAAAACGCACACACGCGTGGCTGGACAACCTATCACCAGAGATGAAAAGTGGGTACTATACTCCAACATGCGCCGCCGTGCCCAATGGGTAGACAAAGGAGGACAAGCAGAAGACGTCCCGAAACCTGACCTGCATGGAGAAAGTGTTGCTATGCATTTGGTGAAGTGTTGTAGGGTAGAGTACGGGATCTACTGAAAGAATGTACAACAGTGACTGGTGACATTCACGATGCTCAACAACCCGCGATGACGTCGAAAAGGCACTGGATGGATTCTTCAAAGCCCAGCCAACCACGTTCTGGAGGAAGGGCATCTACGATCTACCCACTCGTTGGCAAAAGACCATAGATAATAATGGAGCATATTTCAAATGACTAGCTGTGGTTGTTTCATTTTTGTGCAGTAATAAATTTTAGGCTTCAAATGTCCGAGGACTTTTGAATCAACCTAACGATTGGTGCTTTGCTTTTTCAGCTTCATTGCATGTAGTGTTTTCGGCTGGATGGGCTACTCCTTCTTCGATTTCAACAATCATTTGTTCCTCAGGTGGGCTTGAACATTGAATTATTGTGCCTTTGTATGTCTACCTGTAGAGGTACCCAGTTATAGTGGTCCATTTGAAATATTGTGCTTTCTGGTAAAAAAACCCACCTGACAAAAAATTTTCAGTGCTGTTGAAAAGAAGAAGGACGCAGTATGCGATGAGGCTGGAGGTGGAACGTCGAACTGTCCGGATGCGGTGGATCTTGAGTCGGAAAACGTTTTCGAGAAAAGAGTATGCAATCCGATTTTGCTGTAGGGTTCCACCTGTGTATACCTACGGGCAGGAGTCTTTTGGATTGAGAATTTGCAATACTGGGACTTGCCAGCAGCAGAGTTGTGTACTTTTGTTGTGCATGAGTACGTAAAGTTTATATACCTGATGTCAGTAGGTATAACAAATACACCGCTGTTCGACTTCGGAGGGGCTTTTTGCTCTTTCGATTTCTTTTGCTAATTTCTGTTAACTTACAGTCTTACTTTGGACCCCGTACCTGCAGATTCTTGTCAGGTTCACAGGAATTCGTAGATCTCCATGTGTCGAAAGCGTTAAGTGTCTAGTAGGAAGCAGTGAAATGCCCCTACGCAGCCGAGCTGCGCCCTGTTTGGAAGTTTACCTTTCGTTCAGGGACCGTCACCTTTCGCACTACGGAGGGGGGGGGGAGTGAAGTCATGGGGCTGAACGAAACCCACCCCTCTGCCTCACATACGTTTGGGGCTCGCAAGATAGATTCTTCCTTAGGATGGGGATAAAAATAGCGAGAAGTATGTTACGGTATTGTGGGTAAAAACCCTGTTCGAATTTTGGAACGAGTTTTCATTAGTGGAACGTTGTAGAAGCTTCAATATCCATGTTTCGAAGAGGCTTTCAACGTCGATTGGTCTAAGAAGCAACTGGTGAGAAAGTCGAGGCGTCTCGTTCCTTGCAGTTATTTCCCACTCAAAGGTGGTTTTTTTCATTTCAAGTTTAAAAGGAAGAGGTCGTTGGGTCTGTTTTAGCTATGCTGCGTGCACAAAAGGAGCACAAGTTGACAGGTGACGAGCAGAAGGACTTGACAGTACTTACGCAGTTGTGGAACGATGAGGTAGAAGTCAGTGAATATGCTCATTTTCATTTCAAAACTCTATTTATTTGCAGGTGCTTGCAGCTCATCATGAGCTTGAAAGGCAGACAGTCCAACCAGAGCAGTTTGATTAGTGAGTGCTTTCCCATTGTGTGCTTCGATGAGGTTACTTGGTTCCCTGTTGCCAAATAGAGTCTCGTTTTTAGCCCAGGTTTCCGGGAGACTGGCAAGAGAATCGTAAAGTGCCGCTTGGCCGCGAGCGGCAGTGGCCGCGATGTTTTCCCAGTTCACTACCTTTCGATTGAGCATCGGATTTCATGTAGACAAGGACATGGTAGACACTTATGTCTATTTTTGGTCATACATTGTCTATTCTCGACCAATACCACCTAAAATCGTCGTCATTAGCGAGTGCAGGCGACGCCCACTGTGGGACGAATTACGATTCTCGTGCCACATACCCCAGATTTCCAACTGTACAACTTTCACCTCGGTCATTGATACTATACCTTAGGCGCTGTTCCGCCTTAACACGTTCGGCGAACATTGGTCCCAACTGCTGTGAACGCACCTTTTTGCCGGTGGACATGCGTGCCACTGCTGGATGCGGCATGTGTAAAAGACCCAATTTGAATACGGTTTTAAATTTTTTAACAGCTACATATTATAGAGGAAGGCATTGTATAATATGCAGTAGGTGTAAACAATGCAGTTGTGTCACTGAGAGTATTTTACCAAGGAGGCAAACGAAAGTGATTTCCTTAGGAAAAAAAAGCAATTTTTGTATTTGTAGATATATGGAGCTTCCGCAAGCAGATATCTATGGATAAGTAACTTTCGACAATAGCAGATCTGGATCGAATCCGATTTACCACCTCTGCCGCGAATTATTCCTTTTTTGCGACCCTATTTCCACGTCCCACGTGAATGAGGCGGGAGAATTCTATGGAAATTTCGGGTCTTTCTCTGGAAGTAATGGAAAGCAGAAGTTTTACTAGCTTCTGCAATGAATTCTTATCATTCTTCAATTGTTTTGGTGCATAAAAGCCCTAGCATTTATGCGCACTCGTCAAAAATAGGGAAAAACTGCTTTGTCCCACGCGGCAGACACGCGAAAAAGGGCGCTGTCGCCAATGTTTAAGGAGACATTTTGTACTTTCGCCAGTTCATGTTTTATTGCAGGAGAAACTTCGAGAAATGGGATAAGCGATGAGAGTGCGTTCATACTATGCGTTAGGGTGATGAGAACTGAGAGCGACTAGGGAAGATTGGTATCAATCGAGCATTTTGAGCGTCCAGCTGCCTTATCAGCGTCTAGACAAAGGCGACTTCATTGAAACCACAAGCGGGTGCTCAAAAGGCTGGGTCGACACCTATACTTTCCTAGTCGTTCAAAACGCGGAACCAGAGTATGAATGCACTCTAACTGTTGCCGGCTTCTTTTTAATCCAGTTACTTGTGAAAAAAAGATTTACCATTTACTACTATTTCGATTTATGTTTATCTCCACATTAATATTTATTGTCTTACAATATTTCATTGCAGCTTCTTTGGGCCGCAGTTTTCAACTGTTTGTGCGATTGTTGGCGGATTAGCTGGCCAGGAGGCGATAAAGGTTTGTCGTTTTATTTTATGAAACAGACAGCGGACGTTAGCAAGTTGCCATCGAGATAGCGACGCCCCAATGGGTCTTTCAAATGGGGTTTTTCATATAATATTATCTTGCGATATGGGCTCTTTACCATTTTGAGTCTGTATTTTTAATTGTTTGGTAATCTGTTTTGGGCGCTGTTTATCGACGGGGGGCATTTTGTATTATCGCTTCCCTGGTTCCGGTTTACAAATCTCACTCTGGTAAAACTTGAACGCTTGTGAAGCTGGAGCAAGATCGTCTAGCCACCATCCTAAAACGTGTCAACTCGAAAAAAGGGTACCTAGATGGGTTGGCAAATCTATGAAAAGCAGAATGCCCCCCCCGTCGATAAACAGCGCCTCTGTTTGTAATCCTATACGGGGCAATAATATGAATTCTATACAGTGCACGTCGTGCGTTGGGATTCCTGGCAGTGTGGACGTATTTGGTCCGCTGTTAGGTCCCCCTGCTCGACTGTCATTTTTCAGGAAAAACTTGAGAATTCTTCCGGAAAATTTAACAGAGGGGAAGGGAGGCCGCGTAGCAGCACAGGAAATTCTCACAGCAGGGGATTGCGAGATCTTTTTTCCAGCGGCAGTTCATGCACTGATCTTGAACGCAAGATGTGTCGTAACTGTGGCCTTTTTGACGTGTGTGGCGATAGCCAGGAAAATTTTGACACTTCCCTGAAAGAATAATCTACTTGTGACTGGTTTCTGCTAATTATGAGCACTTCTAGTAATGTTACTTTATTTTTTTACTGCTATGTTGGTGAGACTTGTCCTTTTGACAGGTCCAAGGAATGCACATCTGAAACGACTTTATTCTCTCAACAACTGACTGAAATTAAATCTTCAAGAGACCTAAAAATACTGAGGATGAGTAAAGCTAAGCTGCAATGAGTGGTCCTCGCCGGACAGCTTTAGATTTTTTTGGGCACCTGAGAGGGGTCGTGTTCGAACAGATTCGAGACTGAAGTTTGAGGGATTTCTCTGATTCTTGATTTTTTCCGTTCCACACACGTTGCTTACCCGCTAATTGGTGCCGCCACAATTCTACCACATCTGGCAGTTGATCGGGAGTATCTGCACTCGATAGACTTCAAAATTTTGGAGATTGGAAGGGGGAGGTAGACAGGAATCGGAGGTTGTACCGAAGGAGGACATTGGAAGAAGATTCGTAAGCTTGCGTTCATACTTTGCGTCCACCAGCGTTTGCCAGCGCCCACGAGTAGAGAGTATTGGGAGATAGGAAGGCAGCAGACAGCTGTATTAGGCGTCGTGAAAATGCGGCGTGTGCCACTGCACGTACAACCACACTACACCGTACATTAAACTGCATAATTCTGTTGCTTAGCAGTCGTACGGTGCGTTGCTAACGCCGCAATTTCGGACGCCTGATCCAGCTGTCTGCTACCCTCCTACTTTTCCATACTCTCTACTCCTGGGCGCTGGTAGAAGGTGCCGCAAAGTATGCGCTTCTATAACATGATATTGTGCCCTTTATGCTATGTTACTGCTCTTGCCTAGATTGCCTAACTATGTGTTCCTCTTCAGGCTATGTCTGAGAACGAGCGTCCTCTGCAAAACATATTCATCTATTCTGCACTTGATTCGACCGGGACCGTCTGTCATTTTCCACCTCCACCATAATTCCTCACAACATGTATCGTTCACTTTTTATTCTTTTATGTCATTTTTTCAGT